AGTTTACGAATTATATGATAATTAAAAAAGTGTTGATTTCTTGCCTTTTCAGGATATTTCAGGAACCAAGTCGGGTACCTAAATTTTGAAAACGGCAATGAATAGGTAATGGAATTCTGCCCAATTTTCCCCATTTAACGGATTCTCTATCTTTAAAAATGTAGAAGGTACCCATATAAAGATTCAGAAAATGGCCACCCTGCATACCTAAAGAACAATAGTCCTTAAGTTTAGTTTTCCTGTTGCCCCTCTTGTTTATCTACTTGATACACTTTACATATTTTTTTCTGAAATTTATTGAAAATGTAAAAAACAAGTATTTGAACATGTTTCCTTTGCTATCTTTTTTCGAATGATAATTATCTATTTTATTAGCATTATTTTGTCAACCAAATTTGCAGGCCAAATGGAAAAAGCTAATTTACTAAATCGGCTAAAATTCAGTCCGTACAAAACCACTTAAAAAGTATGCGCCGTTATTTTCATCAGGTTCCGCTGGGCCGGTTTTAATTGGACTTGGCAACAAACATTTAAAATTCAAAACAGAACCGTAAACAAACTTGCATTATTAAAAGCAAAATATTATTCAATGAAAACCTTCACAAAATCTAGATTGGGCGCTTGGCTAAAAATAAATTTATCCTGTTTTCAAAGAGATTGAAAATTCAGGGTAAAATTTCGTAATTAAAGTTGAAACTTTGTTCAAAAATATTTATGGTACCTGAGATACAAAGTGAATGTTAAACTATATGATCCTGCTCAGGAACATTAGTAATAGTTCAAATTTTAACTATAAGTTGAATTTTATATTTTTAAAAGCAATATGACTGAACCCAAAGGCGCCAATATTCCAAATGACAGAAATTTACTCTAAGTATATCCGTTTGTATAATTTAAGTACTTGGATTTGGTGATACATGAGATTTTCTGAGAAATGTATCTAAATATTTATAATTTCCTGATTCGTCATAGTCAACTTTCTTATCCTTAAACTTAATATATTATAGAAAAAAATATTTCCAATTTGCTTTCACTTTGAAATACCCAAGTAAAATATAACGGTGCGATTACTACGAATAATTCAAAGTAAGAGCAAACTTGAGATTTGGAATGTAAATTTTAAAATTTGTAAAAAAATTTAAAATAATCTCAACTATTTTCAGTTGTTTCTGTTTCTTAATCTCTTAAGTCTTGGAATTTTTAGTGATATTGAAAATGGAAAACTTTTAATTTTGCAATGTAATTCTTCTTAGATATAGAAATATTCGTACGTATTCGTAAATAATAATTAAAAAAGCTAAACTCGACATTCATTAGCCAACTGTCCCAACCACCTCTACTTGAAGTAGGTTCCTTCAAACAGCTCTCAAAATAATTGTTTCATCAAAAATTTTAAATTTGTGCAAATATTCAGCAAATAGAAAAAGCTCTGATTAACAACTTCCTGTATTAGTTCAGACAGATCAAAAACAGAACCAGAGGAAATAAAGCTGTGGAAAACCTTTCCATTCTTCGCGTCGATAATACGTCTTCCCCAACTTTCGGAATTAATTCACTTCAGCGACCATCCATTGAGAGAACTTGTAAGGAATTCATTCATTTAATTGAATTTGTATGTACTAACTGTCCACTTGGCAGTTTCCTTTTATGCCCTGAACTATCCATTGTTTGATTTCCTCGAAATGGCGTCTTTGTATGTCTCAAATTCTATTCCGCCCATTTCTCAGCAAACTAACTGTTATATCAGGAGGCAGTAAATTAAATTACAGATAAATAATTGAGTTACCGATGAAGTCTACTGTATGCACATAGTGTAGGTTAATTGCTGCAGCTCATAACTGTACGTATAAGGAAATGACTTAATATTTACGCTGATCCAATTCAGGTATCTAGGCAAAGAGCAAGGAATATCTTGCTGAAAACATCACTTTATCATGTAGCAAAGTATTTTTTGTAGCAAACGATTTGTTGGAAGCTTCCGTACTACTTCACTTTCAAATGTGTAATATTCCAATCCCGGATTATTTCGATATAATTTTCTATGGATTATTACAAATTTCTGTTTCGCTTTTTCGATACAGTTGTCTTACTTGCTGTCGTTCTACGACATTCGTTATTAGTGTAAAGCTGAAACCGAAATCTAAAATACATCATATAGCATTTAATTTTTATAGTTTTGGCACATTTTTGCGGTTGCTTTCACGTTTACAAAAATGTACTTTCGGACAAATCATATCTGTTAAACGATGATTTAACTTAAATAATTTTGGTCAATCACCTGTAATACCCTGGAGAATGTTGACACTGCTAACGGTTATTAATTTATCACTAATGGGTACATAAATAGAAAGATTAACATTGAAAATCGAAAACCCGCTGTCTTAGTAATAAAAGAGCACTTACCTTTATTTTCATGTTTAGCGATACTTACGGTTTATTAGAGTAAGGACAATTTCATCGTAAGATTATTGGATCTTGGTATTCACTAACACGCAAAATAAATCAAATTATCTTATTGCGCTGTTGCTTATTTTTCGAATTAATAAAATAAGTGACAATAAAATAATTAGTGCTCATTGAGTTAATGTCGACGGATCTTCCTGCTACTTTATGCGGAAAACAATTTTTTGCATAAAAAAATTCCGGAAATTTTCAATCAACTACCGAGAATTATATGAAATATAATCCTAATAAAGAACGAATTAAGAGGCCACAGATGAGCAAGAAAAGTTAGTTTCTTTACGCCTAATTCCACATTACATACCGCCAGTTTTTTTGCGCTTATTAGTTTTTAATTAGAAAAGTACTTACTCGTCAGTAACGCATGGACTACGTGAACCTGCAACAAAATTAAATGATTTAAAATGAGTTCTCTGACCCGAACATATAAGAAAATGATATTAATATGCAGTATTGCGTAGTGGAATTAAATAGATCTACATGAGGCCAATAACTGAAATATAAATACAACGCACCAAACCATGACACAAAATCGTGCAGATTCAAATACCAAAAAGTACAAAGAAAAAAAAGTTTTGCAAATATTTAAATCTATTTGCGTCTATAAATTACACGCATTCATGAGCACACGTTGTCCATCAATGGATTCAAGCAGATCAAATACAGAAACGATTTAAGAAATCCAAGGTTAAAAGAAAGATTCTTCTATTCTATTCGGGAAGAAATACAGCATGTGCAATCAAACTAAATGTATTGTCTTTTGAACCAAATGTAGCAAATGAGTAAAATCTCTTCAACTGGAACCAGAAAGTGGAAAAATCATTATTTTCCATAATTACACTGAGAATAATAATAATCCTGTGAGAAGCAGATTCGCTGGAATTTCTTCCCACGTTAATGCTATTAACAATGATATTAATGTATCTACTTTTTATGAATCGTTGACAGTTTTCGATTTTTTAATTTCGTTACTTCGCTTTCGCAATTTATGGAACCATTTTACAGTCAAATTCATCAAACTTTGGCTTTGAAATCTATTTTCTTCCCATGTTGCAAAATCGCGAAACTTTGAACAAACACTAAACTCCTCGCGCTTTCAAGAAAATTTACCTTTGGGTTGCGAGTTGTTGGTTATTACATACTTAATATTCTACGTTTGATAGTAGGAAACGAACAGTTCTGTGGCCTTTGTTTTATTTCACAAATTATCATAAGCATATTAAAATGCGTTTGCTTTAAAGCTCGCTCGTTTCAAAGGGGTCACCCTGTTTATGTCTATGTACTACCTATTTACAGTTGTTTTTGGTTCAAAGAGCAGCCTCTAAATTGTATCAAATTTTAAAATAATAAAACTATTACAATTTATTTTAATTTTAAGCAAGTATGAAGTATTTCTATTATCAAAAGAGTTTATAAGCCTAATTAGCGGAAGGTTGCAAATAAAACGCTTCAAATTGTTTGTTATACTTTCATAACTTATCAATAATTTTCAATAATTTATCGATAAACCTACCGATTTTTGTTGTTAAAAGATAACATCTTCTCGAAATGAGTTCCTAACAGCCCTTTAAAATGCTGCAAAACTGATACCGATTTGTTAAATTTATTATAAACATAGATAAATATTTGTTATCAAAGTAACAATATTTCACTTAAAAATTATGCCTGCAACACTTAACGGGTATATTGCAAAAATATAGACGAAATAGTAATTTTACAACTCAAACGCAAATTTCTAAAAGAATGGCTTCCAACAAATAAATAATTGGATATACAATGAGTAAGAAAAATATATTCATGACGTTGACCATACCTTCGCTTGCATTAATTCAGCTCGGCAATATGCCAAAAAAATTATTGCAGAAAACATTTTTTTGAAACTATGGTTCAGCTACTGAAACATTTCGCTGATTTCCATTCTTGTGGATCTTCCAGTTTTACATAAAGAATTTGTGTTGAGAAAATCGATCTGTTTTCCTTTATATTTGGATGATATACGTTATATATATATAATAAAACTCCATTGTTTGTTGCTGGTGAAAAAGACAGTTTAATCAGTTGGTAGTTAAAAATTTTTGATCGAAGAAAGATGTTTTTTGTCTTTCAGATGTTGCCAGCAACTTTAGTAACTTTAGCGACATTTTTATTGGATTTATCGAGTGCATCTCCGGTGTACAACATGCAACCTGCATTTATCACCACAAATATAGGTAAGTTCAAATGAAACTTTTTGATTTGTGAGTAAAGTTTTTGAAATTAAATTGAAACAGTTCTGACTAAAACTCAAAACACGATTAATTTTAAATATTAGAGGCAATTATAATTTAATTTGAAAGAATAAATAGAATTATATATTAAAATTCACGTCATAAATACTTTTCAATGTTAAAATGTTCTGAAAGACTAAGACTACTTCAATTACAACTTTGCAAAAAGTATTATGTGTAATTTCCTCCAACTTTAACGGCATTTTGCAATAATCGTTTAGCATTACCTACATCATTTTTCTCAAAAAAACAGTCCATTTACAGGCACTGAACTCCATATTGTAGATAACTCGAGCATGGAAAAAGGAAATTAACCAATCAAGAGATACCCGAATGCCTTTTGTTAACGACTTGTACCTCCTATTAATCGAAAATAGCGAACTCTAAAACAACATTACGAAATAGCGAAGCGTAAGGTTCGCAAGGACATTTGTCCTTTTTTCTAGTGCTTTTATAATATTTGCATGCTTCCTAAATCAATTTTTAAATTACGTATATCTAATGAATATCAAAAGAATATACAGTAATAAGGAATTCAGCAAAAAAAGTATTTTGCTTGCGCAAACTGTCAGCGGAAACCAAATTCAATCTTCCCTGCCAATCCCAAATTCATGCAAAATTCAATTTAAATGCACTTTAAGGTCAGGACGTTAGAGCGATTCTGTGTAGAAAAAGTAAATCGGATTTTCAATTTACTTTGCAGCTGATTTTAAATTATGATAAACCTTTGCAGGAAGGGTTTTCTGTGGGAACCGCAGAAATAATAGTAGCAAAGCGAGCAAAAAGTTCTGTTAAAATTACAAATGTAAATTGTAAGTGACATCTTGCTGTAACCAATCAACAATTATTTGATTTTGATGTTTTTGAATTTTGATTTGAAATAGTTAACACCTGAAATACATTTAAAATTATTTAAATAAAGCTTCTAACCAAGTTTAATTAATTAATCGTGAAGTAAACTCCATTAGTCAGCTTCAAAGCCTCACTCAAATTTAATATTTGACTAGTACAAGACATTTTCACGAAGATTTCAGTAAAAAGCTTAAGGGCAAAGAAAGAGGTGGCGACTAATTAAAGTTAGCCAGAAAAGAAAATATTTGAAATACGGCAAATATTTATGTCGCTACTTTGAGTCAGAAGAGTCTTTGACTTTCTCCACCTTACTAAGAAACAATTTGGTTAATATATGAAAATACGGAAAGGCAAACCATATCAACAGACGCTCAAAGGCTGATAATCCAATCATTTACAATTCAAATGGAGGCTGTGTATGTTTACTTTACGTTATAAACTATTAAAGGTAACGGAGGCTCACGCTCATTTATATTTAAATGTTCATTACAACGGAATTAACTTTGGTATTCTGAAATTTTAATGCATAATGAAATCGATTGTTTGTGGCGCGTTGAACGCAACTTCCATATGCAATAACATTGAAAGATGGCAGAAGAACCGCAGGGAAAATATTTGTTTTTGGGATAGGAGTTGGAAGCAGTGCAGTTGGACATTTAGTGCACAGGAGTTGGAAGCAGTGCAAAATCAGATTGAAAGTGCCAAATAAAAAGAGAAAAGCTTCCCGCAAAGTGAAAAAAGTGACACAATCGAAAAATCACAAATATTGCAATTCCGAGTTTTCCTAAAACGTCTAGATTTATTTCCCGGTCAGATAGTTCAAAGAAAGAAAAAAGGAAGAAAATAACTGCGACACGGATTCTTGGTGGTAACGCCAACACACTCACGTTTGACCCCGATTCTTTGCGACATTTTCGCACCAACGTGACGTCACACGAACTGACCCCATTCAGGAAATGCTTCTGCAGGATTTTTCTTCTTTTCTTGCTTCTGAATGTCACGATGCAATCTCATGCGGCTTATTAAGCTCGTCCCATTCCACGTTACTTACTTTGCTAGAATGGTTAATACACTTCCTACATAAATGGTCATTGAAATTAATCGGTTCTGCGTGTGATGGAGGCAGTGATGAATGCTATGTTTTTGATGGGAATCGGGTTGTGACCGCTATATAACAATATTTGTGGGTTGGTGCTAAAGTACATTGCTTACAGCACATTAAACTTAGCCCTTCAAACAATTTTCTGCTAAATGTCCGCTAAAAAGTCATTCATTATGTATCATGCAAATGGTCTCATCATTCAATCATTTCAAGTAGTTTGCTTTCATTTAGGAGCAATAGGCGTAAACTTTGGCTTAAATTTCATGTTAAAAGTGACTTCTTTTTGCAAACAGACCGACGGCAAATGAGTCAAAAGGTGAAACAACTAAAATAAAATGTTCAATATCAGTTCAAAAGCAGAAAAAAAAACTGAAAAAAATGTTTATTATACTATTCTGGAAAACTAAATTAAAAAATTACAAAATTTTAACTAATTCCCACTCAAAAAGGTTTAAGTAAATAACGGTTTGCTTTAAGTGTGCGTAAGTTGCATATGTTTTATGCCATTTTCACTTGACGATAGATTTTTAATATATTTTGCCTCATCAGCAATTAGAGTGCCTCTTAATTCGTGGGCACCTATGCAGTTTTTCCTATTTTGTTTATATCCAGGAAACACAAATATGAATTGCTAAGCTCATTTTTTAATGAAATAGGAGAAGTCATCTTGAAAAAATGTAACTGTGAATTTTCTCTCTCAATATCCACTTCTACCGCTCTCTTAAGACTTTACCTTAAACTCATGTTTAAAATAAGAATTAAAAACCAATGTTTAAACTAGATTTTCTTCCTGTTATTCAATGGTTTTAACAGTGTAACCCACTCTTCTTGTATTATTTGTATTACAAGGAGAGTTTAATTGTTTCTAAACCTTGGATAGCGATTATTCGGAAATCGCCGAACAAAAAGCAGCAAAGTAGTAACTAATGTAAAGAGAATTGAATGCTCTTTAATGTGCCACTTGACCCCCTTTCCCATTTAAGATTCTAAGGGTGACATCTACTCGTCCTAGGGGATTGAAATTAGGAGGCTAAACATATTTATTTTTATGTAAAGTGTTTCCATTACAAATAAAGTTGACGCGTCTTTCATTGACGATTTTTCATATTTTCAACTGAAAGAAACATGTTAAGGATTTGAAGGTTTCAAATTGACACCCGGTATAAGTATCATATTTTTACCGAAAGCTTGGTGATTGACTTGGAAGGTTTGTTGCATAAGATCACATCAGACCGATCCCCAGTACTTTCCGCAGTTCAAAGTTGAACTATTTTTGATTGATTGAATCACAGCACTTAATTAAGTTAAGCTCTTTAAAAGAATTAATAAATTTACTTGCAGGAACTCAAAAATAGACAATATTTATTCAACGAAATCCCCCGTTTGTTCAAAAGTTGTCCATTTTTCAAATTGCACTAAAAATAAAGAATTAAATTAAAGTGATTAAATACGAAGAAATTCGCGTAGTTGCCAATAATGTATATGCTAATTTCGTCACATGAGCAAATCTGAAAACCGCTTAGTGAAATGTTATCCATCAGAGGGAACATAACGTCCTGAATACAATCAATTTTTGATGTTTTATAAGCTTTTTACGATTCCAACAGACTTAAGGCCGATCATTTCAACTCAATTTTGCATCAATCTGAGAAAATAATCTAGGTTATCCATTTCAAAATTCCGTAAAAACCTGCCCCTCTCTGAGTTCAATCTGAAATCAACAATACTGTGTTCTGTCTGCAGTTATAGGTAACATTATATAAACAAATAAATTCTTTCGATGCATACATCGACTACAAAGAACGTTGGCCCTTCGTTTAATAATTTAAATCAAAATGAGGTAAAAAATTATTTCATGGGAAATCAATACTCGAATTAGTAACAGATTACCAGCTTTTTTCAGCAAGAGTAGAAAACAATTTCGATCTGCGGTTGTGTCTTTCAACATATCATATCGTAGATTTTTACTACTTTTTTAATATTAACTTATTTCAGAAATACAATTTTAAAAGGTTAATTTGCTTATTACAGATATAAGCAAAATAAGTTTAAATAAAAATGATTCAACAAGCATAAAAAATCGGAGCAAACATTGTTGTCTTGCGTTTTCAAAATAACACAGTATTTTGATAATGAAATAGTCTAATTTTCACTCATCAATGTTTTATTTAGTTTATCTTGTCCCAATCTTCGCATTTTCGACCGCAACACAACATATTAAAAACATATTTAAAAAATGTGTTGAACTAATCAAATAGAATCAAGAAAGGCCTTTCAAAAACATGCTTAACAGCATGCTTGATAATAAACAATTTACTGTTTCCGTGAAACATCCCCAAATAAACTCGACTCATCGATTGAAAATGAGAGTTCTTAGTGCAATAGCACTGATAGGTGATTGCGGTCTGAAATTCATTATAAAAATAACATAATAATTAATCTTGACAAACCCAGCATAACATCATCGCTCAAATAATAACAGGTATATCATGTTGAAAATCACACTCGATTTTTAACGATAGGCGTGATGTACCCAATCCACGTAAGTGTGTTTCGTAACGGGACCTCAAGAACCTGACCTACTAAAATATTTTACGTGTTATATAATGCATTTCTCTTCAGTGACGTACCAGAATTTCTTCATACTAATTAAAAATATGTGTTTACAATTCTAAAGCTTTCTAATTAATGATGCATCGCTTGTCCAAGGCACTATACATATAAAATACTAATGAAAAATATACTATAAAAATACAAAAATATACTATAAAATATCAAAACAATACTATATAAAATATTATATCACTAATAAATAAATCAATAATTAAAAAATGTTTAAACACATGCTAAACAAATTGAATGCTTTTTGAAATTTATAACATACCTTTTCACCATCATACACAACTTTTTATACAAGTTTTATTGTTTTATTTTGTTGCCGATGGAGGCTTGCCACTGCGCTCATCGCACGCCTGATGTTAACATCGTTCCATAAAACGCCTACTTTTGTTAATTATTAAAAAAACTGAATCCGATATATTAACCATCTCGATAAATCCGAATGATCCGTTTACCGATTTATAACGGTCTGATTCTCAGGAGCCTCGGTATAATTTCTGTCCAGTTAGACCAGAGAATGTTGTTGAAAAAAGCGCCTAATTACTTGTTTCCGTGGTCACTGCAATTAATTTTGTACCGGAACTTATGGCTTTTTAGCGTTAGCTTGCGCTTCGAGTTCAGGCTGCAACAATATCGACTCATCTAATTAAGCGTAGTAAATCGGATATTGTGGAAAATCTTTCCGGTATAGGTAGACGCAGTTGACAAATCTACTAATGGGTCAACTACTGTTAATTTCACCTCCATAATAAGCAAATTGAAAGTGCAGGTATATATTGAATATGGATTATTAAATTTAAACGATGCAGTACCCACTTGTATTCGGTTCATATCAGGTTGCATTGTCCTCATTGTAAGTAAGTGTGGAAGCTACAGTAACAAAATGCAATAAGAAAAACCACTCACTCAGCATCAGCAGATATCAAGTCCCGATTATCATAAGTTTAATTTATAAACAAATAGTAGTTATAAAGTAGTAAAAAATACGTTTTTGTATTTATTGTTCATCATCGACTAGATAGCCGCATTTCGAACGAAACATTTTTTGAAACTTTCACGCCCTGTATTTTGAAAATCGTCCACTTTTGGATTAAATAAGCTAAGTCAAATCATCATGTTTTCATCTAGGGAATCTGTGGTAGGATTTTGTATTTTACAGACACCTTGTATATTACACATTGATTGTTTATATGAAAGACTTCAATAAAATTTAATGCCCGGGAATGCCATGGAAATAACCATACATGCAATGTGCGTAATGCATAAGAAATTGATATTAAGATACTTTCAATGTCTATAAGTGCAAGTTTGTTCCAGGGTCAACAAATGGCAGAAATATCCGCAACTTGCCATGTGTATCCAGGAAAAACAATGGACTCACTGGAGTCTGCATGTTTGCCATAGATTGTCTGAAATCGAATGGTACTCATCTGGGTACCTGCATTGATAGGTTTTATTTTGGCTCCTGTTGTCACATTGAACCAATCAAAGAAGCTGAGAATAGCATAGAAACGAATATAATTTTGGACAGTCGGGTACCACCTGAAAGGGTGCACAATACCACTTTGCTCATCAGTACCAGCACGCAGCCGAGTTTCAGTAGCGGTACAGCCATGGTAAGTCGACAAAAATTTTGATAATCGATCTGTGGTCAAAAAACACGGAAAACATGTTTCAGGCACAAAACACAACAACAACCAATGCACAAACAAAACTACCCAGTATCACAACCACAAAGAGATACTCCAGCACAATGAGACCAACTACTACGAAAAGCAGCAGCAAAAGACCCAGTCTCATTATAAAGCCATCTACAACAAAACCAATTGAACCCAAACTTCCTTTGGCCAGCAGCACCATTTTCACCAGTACCACTGAAGAGGCAACTACAACTCCCCAAAAACTGCAAACTTTCCAGATTATTGATGGAGCGCTTCTAGAAACCACAACGATTAAACATATTTCAGTTGGCACCTCAAAGCGACCCACTACTCCTCTTAGGACATCGACGAAAAGTCCTGTCACTACAACCAAGCCCCGCCCAGCAGTCACGGCGCCTCATAGGCCGTACCACAGGCCCAGCTCAACGTCTGCCACTCACAAACCTTCAAGACATACAACTAGTAAACCTCCAGCAAAGCATACCAGACCGACTAAAGGTTCAACGACTAAAAGACCGGTGACTAGTACAACTAGCAAAATTACTAGCACGCGGATACCTGCAACAACTAACCCGACACGAAGACATACGCGGCCCACTGCAACAACAACAACAACAACAACAGGTGAGTAAAAACTGTTTTTATTTCCATGTTTTTCTGAGAGTTTTGGAGCAGTTGCAATTAACAACGAAAAATCCATACAAAGTCACAGTTATTCAAAAATTAAATACAATAGGTTTGAACTAAAAAACGCTGAGCGCTGCTGTGCAGAAAAATATTTGGTTCAGAATTGACCTCCCCGAAAACTTAAACAGCCACTGTGTGGGTGGGGCCCATATTATTTCCTCTTTACCATAATTCACTTTGGCAGTTTGAGTGGAATTGCTAATTCCGTTCCGTTGCTCTTTATTCACATAAAGTGAGCTTTTACGAACATTTTTTGAAACGATTTAGCTAAACCCATCAGAACTACAACGCCGCCTGTTCGAACCACAACCCAGTCACCTAGTAGGCATCCTACCACCGTGACGACAAGAAAACCGTCACCTCCTACAACTCGTTCACCAATAAGCACAACGGCGAAACCATCAACGAGTTCCCTTAAACCAGTTTCTTCTACTTCAACTCAAACTACACACGTTGCTTCGTCCTCCCAAGCTTCTGGAATATCGACAAGTGTTCCTAGCATTGAGGACCCAGTTGTAAAGAAAAACATCACTCAAATCATGGAAACTGAATTGAATCCTGCAAACAATGAAGTGATTGAAAGCAGCGGTTTGCTGACTTTGATTAATGGAAGCAGCATTTCAACCAGCACTGTTCAGCCTGCCACCACCAGCTCTGCACCAGGTAAGGCTCTGGAAGGCGCCTAAACACTCACTTTACACTATTTTAAAGTTTCGAGCCCCATCACGACAAGCTCAGCAAAACCTGAAACATCTGCTCCCACTGCTACAACCAGTACAACGATCACGACCAGCACCGTTCCTGTAACCAGTCCAAAACCGCTGATTGAACTTACAACTTGGACCGAAACTGTGAAAAATGAAACCACCATCAACATTGTACATGAGAATGTGACCACTTCCAATTTCACTGGAGGTACGCACAAGAAGCTTAATCCTACAAATAAAGTCGCTCATTCGCGATTGTGAATTTTCAGATTGGATTCCGATAACGACTCCAGACTCATGGGTACCACTTCCAAGTCTGACTCCTGTTACCTTATCACCAATAGCATCGCAAAATGCCTCAACAGTCGTGTTGTCGTCAACAACTCCCGTTTCTTTAGAACCTTTATCAACCATCACTCCAGTATTGACGTCTTCAACACATGATGTTTCTGCATCAGAATTTACAGAATCTCCTTTGATTACAATGGCGATAAATACAACAGTTTCATCAGTTGCATCGACAACATTTACAGTAGATGTCACTGAAAATACTACCGCAATAACGGAAGCAGGTGGAGGTGGAACTTCTACCGAGACCATGGAAACAACATTGGAAATGGAAACTTCAAGTAGTGCAACAACTACTGAAGATATAACTGGCACAAAACCAGTGAATATGAGTGATTTTACTGATGGTATGTAAAAGCACTTATTTAATGAGAGAATGGGAGATGAGAAGTGCCCAATCGAGGCAAATATGTGTAATTGGGATAATATTCCAAAGAATTCAAAATGTTCACTATACATATTTCAAATCAACTAAAACTAATGAAGTAAATGGACACAAATATCAAACGTTTAAACAATTATAGACCAAACGAGCAACAAGAGTGTACTATATAGTGCTGCAAAAAGTAAAACATAAAAACGTAATCCTTTGCGAAAAAATAGTATTACATCTCGAAGAGCCGGACGCGCTACAGAAAGCGGTAAAAAAGATAAAAAAACAGCGATATAAGAGAATATCAAATAGTCATTACCTATCTAGATAACGGCCCGAGTTCTTCAATGAGTAAAAAGTATGCAGTGCAGAACTGGCAGAATTTTAGCTCAGAGTTTGTTATATTTAATGCATTTTGATATGCCACGTTTAACTCAACGTCAGACCTTTTTAAACTATTTCTGATGTGATTTTTACATTTTAGATGAGTAATTTTAACTTGTATGTATTTTCCTACATCTTTTTCCTTGTATTCACATAATTTTGTTTAATTTATGTTGATGTTAACTGAATGTTGTTCTAAGTGTAGTTTCAGTTTCCGGAAACATGAAAAAATTTAAAGTTGCCAAAAAGTATGCGAAATAATTAGTATGAAAAAGTTTCAAAAATGTAATTTTTGTTAGTGGAAATTACTGCGATTTTTAATAACCGCTATTGTGGTAATTAGAATATTATTAAAAAATGAACATTGCATTAACAAGAAAGTAAGGCCCGTTTCCATTACTGAACAATTGAAAAATTATCTATGTGAGACATCTATCTAACTGAAACAAAGCTGGCAAATTATAATAGAAAATCAAGCATGATTGATCCTCAAGATCAACAACGTTGAAACCGCAAACCAATCTGTCGATTTTGCAATTGCGTGTAGTCAGACCCTGTAAAAATTTAGTTCTTCAACCTTCTTCAAGGTAATTTAAACTCGTTAGTTTAAGCAAAAGAAACAAAAAATTACAAACAATAAGACATAGGTCTGGTCGATCCGCTGGCCGGCAATCTACATTTCAGTGGTTTTGTTTTAATGCTCATTTGCACTAGTTTACAAGATAATTAACTCTCTTTATCGCGGTGTGTTTTTATGTTTTTCGGACATTGTGGCGTGATTAAACATTCTAGTTGGGATTGTGAGAAACTGCTGAATTTACGCGGTCCTTAAGATTGAGTGCTGAGTAGAAGGAAGTAGATCTGTTGATGCAGTAATGTGATGATTTGCCATACTTTGTGCTGAATCAGTTTTATATTAGTAAATTTATTTCCAAATCATACTCTTAGTGACATATTTAGAAATGCCCTCACATTTCTTTATAAGGGATTTAAACATCAAAAGTTTACAATTTTGAGTATAGTATACGTACTTTAAAATAACAGCTTAATTATATATTTCTTACTATTTATCCATTATAAAGATGCTTCTTTTGTGTTTGGTTGAGTGAAGTCTGAGAGACCCAATATTTTCGGTGCGGCCCTTATACTATAAATCTCTAGAAATCTCACAAGCATTTTTGACCGATCCCCAAAAGTCCATTAAATGTGAATAAATTCCATTTTTAATTTTTTCCATATTTAAAACTACGATTAAATATCTTGGAGGTCATTTCATTGATTACACATATAAGTAAAAAACAGTGAACGGTTGGCATATTTAACGTCTGGCCATTTTGCATCTCAGAACTTCCCAAATGACATACAATTAGTTTTAATCCTTAATTTTATGCACCTTTTGCGATGTCATTAGCTAAGCAGATTACGGAGATTACAACTCCAATGTCATAGCCAGCGTAATTGACTTAAAAATTGTCTTGAAATGTGGATTTAATAATATCAGAAAATTGTTAATTTCAACGTCGATCAAGGGTTGGTTAGTTTTTACGAGTTGAAACTTAAGAAAGAGCTAAAAAACTTTATCATCAATTAAATGGAAACATATAGCTCTGTTTATCGTGTATGCATAGCAAAGCTTAAAACTTTTTATTAGTTATAAATTAAAAAAATTTAAAAAGATATTTCAGCTCGTAAAAAATAGAGAGCGATTCAAAATCAGTTTAATTTATCAGGAAGGAAACTATTACGATAGACACTAGTTAAGCATCATTGCAGTTCTTATGTTTATTCAAAAAATTACATAATCGAACCTGTTGAAAACTCGTAATTGCAGAAAACTCATGGCAAGCTTTTTAAAGCAACGTTTAATAGCAAATTTGATATTGGCCTTTCAACTGTTAATGACTCCCCATGCAAATAAGAGCGCATTACTTCAATTTCCAATCATCCTGCATCTCGTAATAAGAAAAGCAAACATCATAATTACAGCATCTAGTTTTGCTCTCGGATATTCGATGAACCAGTCGGGCATTATCATATTGATCAGCCTTCTGAACTGTTATATTTGCAATGCTTCTACGAGAATATCAGTCAGTTTGACTAACGCTCCTTTTGCCTCAGTATGTGGTAGACGAATGTGGCCCGAAGCCAGAATTGTTGGTGGAGAAAAGTCCACATTTGGAAAATGGCCATGGCAAATCTCATTAAGACAGTGGCGGACATCCACGTACCTTCATAAATGCGGAGCAGCTTTGCTGAATGAGAATTGGGCCATTACAGCCGCTCATTGTGTCGACAAGTAAGTGAAACGTTATTACATTACATTTGGCAATTACGAAACCTTCAATTCCATGTAATATTACCAGAGTTAAATCAACCATCCTTATTTTTTGAGGCGATATATGGTATGCATTTATTGATGTTGAATCCTGCTCATAGTGCAATAAAACACTGTGAAATTATTCTATTTTAAATTGTTCTGCTCTAAGGGTACGAAGCAACTTGTGTACTAAGACGATAAACTGATTTCAGGGTAACATTTACAAATATTCAAGTATACAAATGCAAAATTCAGGAAATTGGAATATCGAACCAATCTAAATATATAAAACATGTGACTTGAATCCAAAAATGGTACACCTTTAGTAACTAATCTACACAAGAGGAATTACTTCTTAGGTGATTGGTTTTAGGAATAAATCTTAACTTATTAGCGGTGAATATTATGAAACTCTCTTTAAAGTTGCTTCATTGTCAACATAGCAAGCATTATGTTGCTTGAAGAATTGAATGAAGGATCTAGAAGCCTTGCAGTGATGCGCAAAAGTAACTTGGAGGGACACTGAATTAGGTTCTTCTGTCCTTAATGTGCCCTGCCTAACAGATTTATCATGACTTGAACATCAAGTCGTCCTTAAATATAAAAGTACCCAAGTACCCAACTTTGTTTGAAAATCTTGATCAAGCATGTTCAGCAAAATGTAAATGGATCTTTATAACTAATTATTGAAGTAAATTCACGAATTTTCGTCAATCCTCTACACAGCGCTTTTATAGAGAATAAATATCTCAAAATTACGCATTCTGAAATTTTCTTTTAGAAACAATCTCAAAATGTAAACGAACATATTTTTAATCATAATTTCTCTTCTAGCGTACCGCCAAGTGATCTTTTGCTTCGTCTGGGTGAACATGATCTTTCCAATGAGGCCGAACCTTATTTACATGAAGAGAGAAGAGTTCAAATTGTGGCTTCACATCCGCAGTTCGATCCGCGAACTTTTGAGTACGATTTAGCTTTGTTACGATTCTACGAGCCCGTTCAGTTCCAGCCGAATATTATTCCAGTTTGCGTTCCGAAAACCGATGAAAACTTTGTGGGTAGAACGGCATATGTTACTGGATGGGGACGATTGTATGAAGGTACGTTTTAAATAACGGGAGACGGGAAATAAGGTAACATTCGATTGATTTAAATCTAACAAACAATAAGAAGGATAATAATAGACAATGACAAGTATAACAGACTTATACCTAACAGATATAACTGGTTTGATAGACGCAAACATTAGATAAATTATTAGAATTACTCGAATATAAATATGTTTCTGTAAGTATGTGAAAAAATACTGAGAAGCAAAAAACTTGACAAATTGGAACAGACAACTCGAATACACCCATGAATGTGATAAAACCAAAACCCAAATTTACGATTTGAACCAGAGAATCAAAAGCCTCCCGTTTGATTCCAATCGAATTATCTACCAGAAAATTTAATTTAGTTCGCATCAGTGTAAATAGGGCACTAACATCTGATTATTACATAGGTATATTCGAAAATATGAAATAACCTAAATAAAAATAAATAAATATACAAAAATAACATCATACATAGCTAAACTGCTTGAAATATTATTTTCTGAAATAAAAGGGTGAATTGGCAAAAATACTGATGACAAGCACGGAAATAAAAAGCTTCAAAATATGAGACAATTCATGAAAAAAAAGAACCGTGACAAAAGAAAGAAAGTGACAATAAAGTTAATTAGTTTAATAAAGTCAATCCACTTATAAACGCATAAAAAATAATTATATAAAATATCTCTAAAAACGTAAAGTGATTATTTGCAGTAGCAGATTAGGTGAAATCATACTAAAACTATTAAAATTAAAGCAATTGCAAATTATAGCCAATGTTAAAGTTTAGTAGCGAACTGCGCATCAGATAACTTCATTTATAATCTTAATATACTTCCAAGCACTTTAGAAATTGAAGATAAAAGTGGAACTCAGTTTAACTAAACACTGATAATGAACTAATTTGAACCATCACGAAAATATTCTTCGGAAAGTTCCGATGTTTCCTGTTTAACCTTAGTAAAAATCTGCAGAAGTAGTTATTGTTTCGAAATGAGCTAAATGGAGCGACAATACCAGGCAAGCATTGACGAACGTGACGTGAATACTGGAGAACATCAAGATATTAAAAAAGGAAACGAATACCTGAAGCCAATGTCTAAATAAAACCCTACATAAAAGTGGAAATGAAACAAATTAACTTACTTCTACACACTGCTAAAGTAAAAATACGAATGAAAATATATTCACAAAAATAAGAAATGTACATCCGTCATGCTAAATAATTCACATTAATCGCTGAAAAATGTTAAAAATGATTTAAGTAATTGACATAACATACAAATTTTATAAAAATTGTACATAAAATCCAAAGATTATTTAAGAAATAATATGAGTTCCTTATTTAGACGGACCTCTACCTAGTGTTCTTCAAGAAGTGTCCGTTCCAGTAATAAACAATTCCGTTTGTGAGTCGATGTACAGATCGGCAGGTTATATCGAGCATATTCCCCATATATTTATATGCGCCGGTTGGAGAAAAGGAGGATTCGATTCCTGCGAAGGAGACTCTGGAGGACCAATGGTAATTCAACGGGAGGATAAACGGTAGAAGCAACAATAGCCAAATCACCTATTTACAAACTTCAACATTTTTACTATTTCAGATTCCTTTTGTCTGGTGTAATATCATGGGGAATTGGATGCGCGGAACCGAACCAACCTGGAGTTTATACGAGAATCAGTGAATTCAAAGACTGGATAAATCAGATTTTGCAGTTCTAATATAGTTCATAGACAGAATTTGTTGGAGTGAAAAATTGGAGTGGCGAACATTCGGCTGACGAATTTAATTCGCCTATTTCTAATAAATGGTCTAATCATATTTTGCAACTAAAGTCAATATACCGAATTCCTAGTCTGAAACATAAAATAAAATGTGGACAATGCATCGAATATTAATACATAGAGTGTGATAAAAAAACTTGACTTCCATCGAATTTCGCAAATAGAATTATGCTGTAAAAAGATTAATGCTAGATTATACTGTAAATATAGGTATATAAGTATTGAAGACTAATTTGTAATGTAGCAAAATTGTGCGAACAGGTAATTATAGATTGTCATGACAAAATAAATAAACTCCTACCACTACTTAGTGGTAGTCCATGCACCTGCAAATCATATATGAAATTTCTGAACTCTGAAAAAATAGGTTTCATTTCTGATATACAAAATATATCAGACTAGAACAAACATTTTAAAATATTGAATATCAGGCCATTGACTTAAATAAGTACGCTGCTTGCTGTTATTGTTAATATATTATGTATGTATATTATTTATTTATTTATTTCAACTGCAGAAATAACGAAAATATGTATTTTCTAGGTAATGAAATTTAGTTTGTTACTGTTATTTTGTACATATGTGAAATGGTGCCTGTGAGAATTATTTCTGTAAAAATATAAGACATTTATTTATTAAGATAAAGCGTACTTATTACATACACTTTCCACTAATTTATCTCTAAAGAAAACATTTATATCAGACTAAAATAAGTGTATGTTTTATACAGTATGCTCCCGAAATGGGTGACGACGAAATTGCTTTCTATTTTCCCACCACCAGACTGTGATAAATACCCAAAAAAATTCGTGCGCATCGAATAAGTTCTTTGTTCCCACAAAAAAGATAAAAAAATAAAAATACTTTATATATAAATACTACATATGAACAGATGATACAGAAGAAGTTCTAAACACGTAAATTATTTGATCACATTGTACTGTCGAATGTCCCAATAAATCAAATGATTCAAGTTACTGTAAGATGTTTTAAAAATGTTTCTGCTGAGAAAATATAATTCCTGTAGATCTTACAAGAAAAGCGAAGGTTTCTTACGATCTGCAATTCTCGTACTGACTTTTCAGGAATCAATCAAGGATTTTTCCAAAGCTTAATAATAGACAATACTTTATACTGCAATTTTTCAGAATGTTACCGGGGCTTAAAGAACAATCTTTATCCACATTCCACAATTCACAAAATTGGGTAGGTTTAACGAATCTACGTCTGAAGTTTGATCAAGAAGAATTAACATTTCGTCGAAGTAAAAAAGACCTTTCCTTATCCAAAAATCCCAAAGTTGTGAGGGCAAGTGAACGTTGATCTACCAATAAAGCACATTGGAAAACTGGACAACTTTGAGCAATATTTGAAATTAAGGTTTTGAAGATTAATTAAAAGATTCCATACAACTAGTTAGTAGTTTTTTGACTTTTCATTCCGTCGCGCAAAATAATTCCTTCCTGACGTTTTGCACACACGAGTGGCCTGCATCGTCAGAGCTGGTTGCTGCGTCGATCAAATATCTCGTGCTTTGAAACCTTCGAAACCTTTTCCAACAATGCCTAAAAGACCATAAAACAATCCAGATGCCCGCAATGGCTGCCAAAGCCTGACTCTTTTGATTAAGTACTCCATGTTTCAAAATTAAAAATTAGAGTTAAAACAAATTTTAAGAACTTCTAAAGCGGCTCCAAATTGGTTCAAATGCACAATATTACAAAAACTCGCTGAATTGTTTCTTTAGATCATAATAATTCTTTGGCGCGGTTACATTGTCAAATTTCAAATACTCAAAAGTTCCAATCATACTAACTAGTCGTCGTCAATAACTTTCTTTACTGAAATATAAGCATAGGATAGAAGTCCATCTGAATTATTTAGAAGCAAATGTTGCATTTAAGCCATACTGAAACCATCTGTTTGTTATTTTCATCATGTCAGGAGGTCGGCAAAGATGTAGCACTAGCGAATTTAAAATAATAATGAAACGACAAGAAAAGAAATTTACAAGGTAAATGATGACCTAGGAGGCCACAACCGCAAATATTTGTAATTTGGAGAAAGCAGCCAAATGAGCATTCTCTTTACGTGGGCAGCTAAGGACAATAAAATTGCCAATAAATTTAACTAAGTAGAGTCAATATCTAGCTATATTGGTCATGTCAATAAGGTTTTAGAGAATGAAAGCTGAAAAAAGGAAACTTTCTGCTAATTCCGAGATATGATAATAACTAATAGAATTTGTAGGTAGGCAGAAATAAACTGTTTAAAATATTTAAATACGTTCTGCTTATTATGCAGCGCCTCACTAATATTTATTCGCTAAATTTGATAATTAAGGAGGGTTGTCTCAGACCAGATAAATCATTATACAGAAGACATTATGCCTAAGCATGAGAAATGAATTTTGAATCTTGCTAAGAAAATCGGAAATAATGGCAAAGTGCTGCCACATCGATTACTCAAGCTGTATAAAAGGTATAGGCATTTTGCTGTTATCTTCTTAGCTCAGAGTAAATTTCGAGGTGAATTAATTATATTAGCAAAATACACCGAAAGAGCGGAAGACGGTGCATAGAAAATTGACACCCCATCTATTTATTTAGTTAATTAATTATTGATATATTGTTATCGTTCAATGACCGAATTCATATAATTTTTGTGGGAGGGTCAAAACTATCTAACAGATGTGTTTCGTCAACAATTTGCCTTCAAACTAAATCTTGTAAAATTAAGTTCTGCTAAGAAGTTTTAATGAAGTTTCATTGAATGGGCAGACGTATTTGAGTTAACCTACCACAGAAGACTGGTTTTGCACCGCCTTGAGTACTTTCTTATGGGGAATATTAAAGAATAACAATCGGAAGTGTCAGATGGTAAAACGGCTCAAGTGCACTTTGTGTTAAAAGTGAGTTAAGGGAATAACGCCTTAGCTAGAAGGTTACCTATTTGGTAGATCGATGATTCCCAACTGGTGGCCATATCTCGTCACATTTTTTTCCATTTTTCTAAATCGTAAAACATATAATAACTTTGATGGCGATTGTCTCAAAATAATTACAGTTACCCCCGGATTGGTGGAAAATTTGATGCATTGTAGTGAGATTCGAAATTGGCAATATTTTCTAAATAGTTGAAAAACGTATGCGCTAACAAACTTGAAAAGTTATTACCAAGTAAGATCATTCCAAACATTTAAAGCAGAAATACGCTTGTATGCAGGACGAACAATAGAAATTCAGTGATTTGCAAGCTGTTCTAAATGCGTCATTAGGAAAAATACTGGCGGTCGTTCAAAAAATAATGAATCACACTTTCAACGATCAGTTATCTAATTTATCAAGCTCGCAGATCTGATTATTGAGAACTACAAAAACTTTCAAAAGGCCACAGACTCAAAACGCCTTCATTGAATCAAATCTTTACTGCGCTGGAAGTGAACCAATGCTAACGCCTCTGGCTCCCATGTAGAAGATATATTTTAACCATTCCCGAATGCAGAACATAACATACTTATTTCATAAAGAAATAAGCACCTTAACTTCTCCCGTGCCAATGACTAAACCCATCAATCACGTTTTACTAGCAGAACAACAGGAATAAACTCCAGAACTTATGGAGAAGGATAAGGTGTCGACTGATATAACCATCCCCAGTTGTGCTATAATGTAATAAGACTTTTCATACTTATGTACTATGTAAGTCACATATGTTGTATGTTGCTGAATGTATGTGGATAGAATGCAATAATAAACAAATAAAAATATTTCCATGTTTATCACAAAAATAAAATATCAGCACCAGGTTAAGAATACTAGAGCAAATTAGTAGATACTAATTCCGGTTGTAAACGATTCGAAAAAAAGTACGAAAATCTACCACAGTTTCGGGCGAGAAACATTATGGTTTGAATCAGGGATAATATTCCATTTTGATCAAATATTCATTAAAATATTCAATATTCTCGCAAACGATTGTCGATTGTTCAAACTAGAACAAATTACCTATTGCCTGCTTCTGCAAATATTTTCAGGTCTTCTCTTCTAAGATCACAAATTTGGACTAATAAAGCATCATTACTTGATGGGATCTTCGAAAGTGAAACCAAATGAGTAAACGTGTAATGGAAATTTAAAATGCTTTTTAATACAACATTTCCCAAATATGTTATTTTTCCTTCAGTCTATTATAGCAATAAATTCCTTGGTAGTTTTTATGAATTATTTCATTATTATATTACATTTTCGCAGGTCGCCTAAAATAACTTTACAACGCCTACCATGACAATTAACGAAAAAAATTACATAATTGCAAACATTGCAATTCTAACGCTCACAATTCTACCACTTTGTGGAGGAATTTTTAAATAAATAACAACATTGCCAGTCGGGAAAATGTTTCCACTTCTTCTAAAAAAGTACGTACTTCTGATTAGGGGCATTAAGATGATTTAATAACCAGTTTTTCAATACTGGGAAAAACCATATGAACATTACTTATATTGAGTTTGAGTGTGGGAGTTTATGTTAGAGACATCCAGAGAGACACTGTTAATACACATTCTATGGGGAATTATGTCCAGGTATTTGATCCCATTTAATTAACCTGATGTAGACTTGATTAATGAAAGTTTCTGACGAGTTAATCAAAACTCACCTATAAAATTCCACTAGCTAATTGAAACGTTGTAATAGTACGTAAACCAAAAGCAAAAAAGCGACAGGAAATCGAAAATTAAGATCTTGTCCTCAAAACTAGCAAAAAGAGAACGGTGTGAGAACAAGACTCGTCGTCTTGCTTTCACTAATTTATGCATCTCCTCTGTTTATGATCCTCTTAAGCGTGCATTTTATTTGCTTCATTTTACTTCCTTTCTTTTCCAGCCGGGGCACGATGACCATCTGACTTCTTTAAGAAGCACTTTTAATTAATCTTGCACGAGAAACTTTTAAATATTAAAGCAATTTTAGTACTAAGATTTGTCCCGGCACATGTGATATTTTAGAGTATATAATCTACATTAATTTACATTTGTTTATTTTCAGTGGGTTGAAGGTGGATTGTTTAAAGCAAAATAGTCACCCAATAATTTAATTATTGGGGAAAATTTACAACTAATTTTGTGGTATTTAGAACCCACGACGTTTGAGAAGGAATTATACATCTTCTGAGGCGCTTTACTTCAAACCAAAATTAAATAGTATTCCAAATTCTCTAATACAAACCGTAATCAAACGCGTTCGTTGTTTGTTGGAAATGATTGTAAATTCTAGATAACAAACTAGTAGGATTTTGCTAAAGATGCGTTGGTAAAATGTTTTTATATTTTCGAAAGAACCTTCCTATTTCTATACCTAATTCTACGACATTGACCAGTAGCAGAAGGTTTTTACTGAAGCTCTTTTTCTGACTATTTAAATCGGGATGGTAAATTAATCATTACACTTAAATTTGCTAAAAACTAATTAAAGTACCTGCAGCACCAAACTGAGCAAAACGTTCATCATTGACCTCAATACACTTTCTCATTCTTTTAATTAAATATTACCATACTCGAAATAAAATGCTTTCGTGATTTATTTTTGATTTTCGTTAAAAGGACTTCGCGCGATTTATTTTCTTCTTCCTAAACTAGATTATTTCAGTGACCGCAAAAGTAAAAGTCCAAGGGATTGCAACGCCATTCTAAAGGCTAAACATACTTTGGCTTTGGATTATTAAGCAATAAATTACAATCTCCTATGCCTTTGTGTCAACTCAGTGTAGCTAAGCGTATTTAAAAAAATCGTAACATGAAGAAACAGTTTGAATTTGAGCATTTTCGTGCACAAAATATAAACTTTATTGCACATTATTTACAGCCTGTCCTGTAGAGTTTATTGTACGTATCAGTAGATGGTTCTTTGGGAATGTTTTAATTCTACAATAAACCTGCAAGTTTTGCCCATAAATTATACACCAATGCGGATAGTCAGAAGACTTGTAAATTTATAACCGATTCTTTCAACAAACGTGGCATAATGACCCTAATTTTTGTGCTGTTTACGTTGATTCATTCTATATGGTGAATATGGTGATGTGAATGTATTCGATTTTAAATGCTATTATAAAGAATGCTCAAATGTGCCGTAACTGTACTTTATAATCCAGTAAAACCTGTAATTATTTTAGACGTTTGTTCTCCTGTACTCCCATTCCGATTAGCAGCATTACGAATATTTAATAGGCACTCAATTAGTTCTCCAATGAATTTCTAAGATTAAGTACCTACTAGTCTGGCAGAATTGAACTAATTACTATTATAACAGGAAATATCAATCGGTCATGTGAAGAAGTGCGTTTGTTCTATATTAATTTAAACTATTTTAACGGTGGATGATAAATCATATGAAACCTTTCCGTAGTGAATGTAATCGGTACTCTCAAGTTCAGAAGATGTTTTAGCTGTTTAGGTTCAGGTAGTGTTCAAACGCTTAGTGTTTGGTAGCTTGAAAAAGACCATACATTTTCTTAAAACGTGTTACTTACAGAAAAAATCAGTCAATACGGTTTTTCAATCTGAAATCTGTCTTAAATGCGACACAAATTTGAGAATTCGTTTGTAATTAATATAATATACAGGGTTGCTCATTAGTGCGTCAAAGTGCGATATCTCAGTAAATATGAACTTTACAAGAAAATACGTCCTACGAAAGTTTTTCATGTTTAAAAGGTCCACATTTTAAAATTACTTTCCAATATACGGGGTGTATCAGAAACGTGTGGTAGTTACCAACTTTGGTTTTTTAAATGGAACCGCCCCTTTTTTCATTCATTTTCAGATTTGTCGTCAAAATTTAAGTTAAGTTTGT